TTCTCAGCAAACTGACACAAGAACAGAAAATGAAATGCCACATATTTTCACTCATAGGTGGGTGAGGAAAAATGAGAACACATGGACACAGTGAAGGGGGTATTACACACTGGGGTCTATTGGGGGGAATAGGGGAGGGACAGCGTGGGGGGGCTGGGGAGGGATAGCCTGGGGAGAAATGCCAAATGTGGGTGAAGGGGAGGAAGGCAACAAAACACACTGCCACGTGTGTACCTATGCAACTATCTTGCATGTTCTGCACATGTACCCCAAAACCTAAAACGCAATAAAAAAAGACAAAAAAAAAAACAAATAAAAGAAACCAAAGAAGAAAGTCATATAAAAATGAACAAACATTACAAAATTTCCTACAACTATATATTTTACACAATAGCATATTATCAAAACTTCAAAGTAGAATGAACTTTTTTTAAAGTCATCTTTTCAACAAATGAAACATTTACTTAACTCTCTCTGGAAGTTTCAAAGAGTGGGTTATATGCTGTTCAGTATCATTTTATTCTCCTTGTTTTTTCTCTCTCTCTTTTCTTCGTTTAAAACATCTCCTTGTTTTCTTCCTTTGGCCTCTGAATCTCGGGCTTCTTTCCCACAGTCATCATTATTGTTTTTAATGGCTTCTCCTGTCAATTACATTATCAATCCCAGAGCTACACTGAAAAAATAGTATCCTAATTCTTAGTCTTTAACAGGGTAACTTCAACAGCAGCGGACAAGTTGCCACTCTCAAGAACTTCAGAAAGACAAAATTACTTGAAATGAGAATCACCAAAAATTTTTCTACTCATTGAACAGTTCACATACTTAGCCATTCTGCTCTTCATAGTTTTAGAGTGATTTTCTTGGCATGCAGGCTTTCTGAAACACTATGTGGCCTGTAACTTTGGGCCTATCAGAGAAAAAAAAAATAAGGATTGTCTGTGTTTAACCTGATTTTATGTGCCATGGTTAACACTTCGTTTGTTAAATACACATTGGGTTCATGGGGAAATCCTGCTGGGAGGCATTTAGGCTTGCCAGTATCTGAATTCCTTTTACTAGAGCATCTTTTAGGACTTCAGGATAGGATCATGATGTTTATAAGCCAGGTTTCCAAGTAGCTTACCATTCTTAAAAACCATCAACAGAAAAAAGGCATTTCTTTAAAGCAGTGGTTCTCAACATTGCACCTGGGGAGCCTTAAAATACACTGGCCGGGCACGGTGGCTCATGCCTGTAATCCCAGTACTTTGGGAGGCTGAGGCAGGCGGATCACCTGAGGTTGGGAGTTCAAGACTAGCCTGACCTACTTGGAGAAATCCCGTCTCCACTAAAAATACAAAATTAACCACGCGTGGTGGCGGGTGCCTGTCATCCCAGCTACTCGGGAGGCTGAGGCAGAAGAATAGCTTGAACCCAGGAGAGGGAGGTTGTGGTGAGTGGAGATAGCGCCATTGTACTCCAGCCTGGGCAACAAGAGCAAAACTCTGTCTCGGAAAACAAAAAACAAACACTGACAACTGCATCTCCGACCTCTAGAGGCTGGGATTCAATTTACCTGTGTGTGTCCACACAGCAGGAGCCTGAATAACTCCAGGTGATTCCAACGGTCAGCCACAGGTGAGAACCACTACTATGGTCATTTTTATTTTCACCTTTCCTCTTCCTTAGGCTTTGCTTTACTTTCATTCTTCCCAAAATTTCTACTACTCCTGGTTTCCATTGTTTTCATCTTCTCTATTTTCATAAGCTACACTGATAGACTTTACTGCTTATATAACAGATCTATAGAGATCATTATATTTTCTTTTAGGATCATGAATTTCTTCTGATTTGGGCCCATTTTACTTAAAGGCTTTTGATAGCATTAACTGTGTATAATCCACTACAGAAAATGGCTGAATATTGTCATTATCATGGTCCTTATAGTTAACAAAATCAACATCCTCAAATTAAAGGCAAACTCCTGAATCACAAATTGAACACTCTCAAAGGAAAAGTGGAGCTTCTCAAAGATACACTTATTCTGCCTCCTCATCACCCCTTTCTCTACCTCCCCCAATACTCTGACTCTCTCATCATTTCTAGCTCTTTCCTAACAGGATCCCCCCTCCCCCTCACCATATTCTTCTTCCTGATGGGCCTATGCTGTCTCTTCAGGTTCTCCAGGCTCATCAGCTTGTTTGGTGTATTAGTCTGTTTTCACACTGCTACTAATAACTACCTGAGACTGGGTAATTTATAAAGGAAAAAGGTTTAATTGAGTCACAGTTCAGTATGGCTGGGGAGGCCTCAGGAAACTTACAATCATGGTGGAGGCAGAGGGGAAGCAGGCACCTTCTCACAAGGTGGCAGGAAGGAGAAGTGCCCAGTGGAGGGGAAAGAACCCCTTATAAAACCATCATATCTCATGAGAAATCACTCACTATCATGAGAATAGCATGGGGGAAACTGCCCTCCATGATTCAATTACCTCCACCTGGTCTCTCCCTTGACAATTACAATTCAAGACGAGATTTGGGTGGGGACACAAAGTCCAACCATATCACTTGGCTACTTGCTTCCACCAACACTTTCCCCTCCTCTCTCCAGTGTCTTGCTCTCTTTGTGTTGGCCAAGCCATAAGCGGCCTTCACAGTGCCTGGGTGAAGATCATGGGAGTCAGGAAACAGGTTGGGATAGCCACCAAACTGACCAGTGACTCATGTGGCTGTAATCACTAGGACAACAGCCTTGTTCTGGCTGAAATGCTGGTGAAGCTACTCAGGAGTAGATGGCAGACCTATTGGCTGCTACAACTGCAGCAGAGATAAGGGCTCAAAGATGGTAAATGCGGTCTACCTTTAAATTTTTAACACGCATCAGATTATACATTTTTCTAATGCAGCCTACAATTATTCAGCATTTTCACCTTTCTAATCAAGTCGAGAGATTTACCATGATGTAATTATTCATTAGTATTATTTACATCAACCTGTTATGGCTGTTAAGAGTATTTTTCATATAAAAAGCTACTTTGTTTACATTCAACAATTATATTTACTCATACACTTTATCAACTTGCATGCTTAGTGTGTACACTATATACTTTCATTCTGTTTTCACTTTTTTAAATCCAACTATATTTATTAACAATTCTATTGAATAAAGGGAGGTAATTTTCCTTAGATTCTGTTTGAAAACATTTTCATTTTTCTCTTTTTCTTGAATGATAGTTTAACTGAGTGTGAAATTGTAGAGTAATAGTTTTCCTCATCCTTTAGAATATTCCCTTCTAGCATCTGTTTTGATGAGGGGAAGTCCACTTTTATTTGTTGTTATTTTGTAGCTATTCTCTGAAGGTTTTATTATTTTTGTTCTTCCTTAATATTTTGTGCTTTCATTATAATATTCCTGGATATGAATTTATTTTTACTTATGTGGCTTAATACTCAGAGTATCTTTGGTTCTGAGAATTCATGTGTTTATCCATCAGGAAAAAAATTTCAACAATAATGTCCTATCCCATTTTCATCATTATTTTTATATCCTTATAAGATAAATAGATATTCTGTCTGAGTCCAGAGTCTATGTGCTTTTTATTCCATTTTCTTAAAAAATAGTTTCTGTTGCAGTTTGGGAAAATTATGCATTCCATAGTCTATTTCACAATCTTTTCCCCTAATGTGCTCCATCTAGAATTATCCTGTTATTTGAGGGTTTTTCCATATTTAAGAAGATTTAGTCCTTATTTCAGGGAATGCATGTTTTATTTCTCATCTCTGTAATTGTTATCTTTTGGGATCCATCTGTCATTTTCAAATTATTTTTCTTCTTAATCCCTGGCCATCTAAAATAGTTGGCATAACTTTAAGAAATATTTTATGCTTTTAAAAATGAACATAAATATTTATCAATTGTTCATTCATGAATGCACAAAATGCACACCATCAGAAGTGAATTTATTTTCCAGTTGTTGATATTTTCGGCTGCTTCTCTTGGCAGCTTCTGAAAATAGATTCAAAGACCCAATTCTCTCTCCATTTCTCTCTCTCTGTATCTCTCTCTCCCTCTTCTCTCATCTAGAAGCTCAGGGGTTGTCTCGGTCCAGCTCTTTGGGCTTCCTATCCAGACCTGGATCCTACATTAATGGTTTAGAATTATTTACCTATAGTGAGACTGAGTACATTGGGAATCCCAGCACCGAGAGTGGGTGGCTGGATTCCACATTTGGTTGTAGCTCAGTGTCTGGGTTCTCTCAAGTCTTCAACCCACAGTTTTCCTGAGGCTATATAGGGAAGCAGTAGAGCACAGTGCATTCTTTGGGTCTCCATTAGCAAGCAAAGGAAGTCAGTCCCTTCCACTCTCCTCCATATCCTATTTTCAAGGAAGGTGCTAAGCCTCAGTTCCCCATTATTGCATGAAGCACTTTAATATCTTTAGTTCCCAAGAGCAAATCTATCTCCACTCAGGCCAACTTGCAAACACAGTCAGCTAACCCGTGGCTTCTGCATCACTCAGACATCTGATTTTATGTTTTGTTTCTGATCCACAGAGATGTTTATCTTGCCTTGGGAGCTGCTTTTGTTTTTTTCCTTTCCTATCTTTATCATTTATCTGTCACTGCTCTGTGGGGTTTTATTTTGTTTGTTTGTTTTGTTTTGTTTTCAGAGACAGGGTCTCACTCTGTAGCCCAGGCTGGAATACATAGCATGTTCATACTACTGGGCTCAAACTATTGGGCTCAAGAGATCCTCCCACCTCAGTCTCCCCAGTCATTGGGATTACAGGTGCAAGCCACTGTGCCCGTGTTTAAGGCAAAAGTTATTGAGCTACTATCACTGACTATCAGGCTAATATTTTAAAATGTAAAACCATGTATATATAGAAATAAAGTTGTCATGGCATTGTGGGAATTAAAGTGAGAGAACCTTTTGATCCAGCAATCCCATTACTGGGTATATACCCAAAGGATTATAAAGCATTCAGTTATAAAGACATATGCACACATATGTTTACTGAGGCACTGTTTACAATAGCAAAGACTTGGAACCAATCCAAATGCCCATCAATGATAGACTGGATAAAGAAATGTGGCACATATACACCATGGAATACTATGAAGCTATAAAAAAAGATGAGTTCATGTCCTTTGCAGGGACATGAATGAAGCTGGAAATCATCATCCTCAGCAAACTGACACAAGAACAGAAAACCAAACACCGCATGTTCTCACTCATAAGTGGGTATTGAACAATGAGAACACATGGTCACAGGGATGGGAACATCATACACCGGGGCCTATAGGGAAGTGGGGGTGTAGGGGAGGGTTAGCAGGTCAGGTGAGGGGATTGGGGAAGGCTAACATTAGGAGAAATACCTAACATTGATGGCAGGGGGATGGATGTAGCAAACCACCATGGCACATATGTAACACACCTGCACATTCTGCACATGTACCCCAGAGCTTAAAGTATATTCAAAAAGGGAGAGAACTACAAGTATGAAGCTTGTACAACAATTTTTTCTACTTGCATATATTCTTTTGATAACTCTGCTGAATCCTCAGAAGAACAAGATAGGATTTTGACACAGACAAAAGATTATCTTAGAGTTACCATTTAAAAATATTAAAATTATTACAAATTTGTTTAAAATTAGGTTAAACTCCTTCCCTCATTAAAAAAATATAATGAAAAATTTATTATGAAATCTTAAATTTTCAACATTGAAGAGACATTGGAAAGACTCTATTGCAAATGCCTGTTGAACGTATTTATGTTTTACTCAACCTTTATGTTTCTCTCTCTAGTAAGGCTGCACACCGACTCACAAGGCCTCATTGTTCCATGACTTACCGTGTTCAAAACTACTTTCTCCTATTGATTTTAATTTCACTTTTATATAAACCTACTTTTTGATTCTAGGATATTTTTCTCCACTTTGGGGAAGGCAATAAACAACTATGTTTGCCTCCTGCAAGATTCTCTGAGGGAAATATGAAGACAACTATCCTGTCTGCATTTTTCCTCCTTTTCTCCAGGCTATGAAAAGGCAGTCATTTTGAAAATTATTTATGGCTGTTAACTCATTTATTTGTTCACTTCTTTCCTAATATCATTAGCATTCAGGACAATAGTAAGGCCAGGGACCAATATAAGAAGTTGGCTACTGTGAGTGCCAAAATTTCAGCCAACTAACAAGGTGTCACCAGGGTGAGTTTCTATCTCTACATACAGAGCCTGAGATTTCTTAGAGGAGCTCTTCTAGGTACATAGCAGATGAGAATTCTTAGTGTGTGGGTGGGAGAGTGAATGTAACAAAGCTATGGACTAATTATTTCTTATCTAGATGCTGTCTTAAGAATCCTTTTGGAATTGAAGCTATATAGTGAATGTAAAATTTTATGTAGGATTCTTCTTACAATTTTGTCTACTAGCAGGAACAATGAACACTATTTATTACCCAACCTCCTGTACACTAACCTTCAACCTCCTTTGGTGGAGATCTTCCCCAATATCACTGACCAAATAAAAACAAAAACAGGCACAGAAACTTGCAAATGCAAATAGCTGAGATTTTTTGAGAAGTTTCCATTGGTCAGTAAATACAGTAATTTGTGAATCATTAAAATAAAATTGAATTTTGTAGTTTTGTAGTTGTTTGGTCATGAATTTTACCAGCTCTTAGTTTTACTATGTGATCATTTTCATTGTCCTTATATCTCCTCACAAAAATACATCTCTTCAAATCAGAGTGACATAAATTATTTCATTTAGCATTCACAAAAATCATATAACGTACCTAGCTGAAACATTGTTAGCCACATCTGACCTAAAATAAAACTCAGGATTGAGGTGGCCATATTATTCCTAGAAGCAGACCTATTTAGCAAGTGGTGGCACAACTGAGATGTGAATCTCACAGAACAAGCATCTCAGCTTGCTCCTGTGCTGGGTTCCCCCTTTCTCAGTCCTAGCAGCCTAGAGCACTGGTAAGGTAGGTCCATCACAGATCAGTACACAGGAGAGATAGTGATACTTCCTGGAAAAGCACTCATCACATCATGAAGGGAAGGAACACAGATGGGTACACTTGATAGACAGAAGACCACAATCATAGGTAAGATGAGATACTGAGAACAGCAGGATGTCTCTCATTCAGATTGTCCCTTTGAGGCAATGCCTTATGAGGCCATGTGATTTTGCAGACAGGAATTAGGAGGGAGTTACTATTGGAAAATAATTATGCCGCTAATGTGAGAATTTTTACTCTTCCCAAAGGTGATAATGAATCCTCCAAAGATGAGTTGGCTACAGGATGTATTCTTTCTGGTGTTAAGACTTTGACTATAACACTGTAAACTCTGTTTTCTTCCAGACTCTGCCCCATCATGTGGATGTTGAGTCTAACCCCTTTTGAGCTAAAATTTGTAATGTTTTAGGTAGAAAAATGATAAGAAGCAGTTTGGGTTTGCAATCAATACAATCCATAACACTCAGTTCTATTGCTGGTTGCGTAGTATAGGACAAGTTATTAAATCATTCTGAACTTTGTTTACTTATCTATTAACAGAGAAAATAATAGTGACTCCATTGTGATGTTTATGTCAGATAAATCAGGTAACATTTGTGAAGCACTCAGTAGGACTTGCAACCTAAAGCAACGCATCTTTCTTTCACTTTCCCCCAGCCCTTTGAAAACTGATTAATGTTGAAAATATGTATATGTAATGAGGTCATAACACTAAAATATAATTACTTTGTTAAAATCCTAGAACTCATATATGAAAACGATTAATAGTAATTTCTCATATACTCAGATATTTTTTCTGTAATGTTATATATATGTGTGTGTATGTGTGTGTCTGTGTGTGTGTGTGTGTGTGTGACACATATAAAATCAGAGCCACTATTCAGACCGGCTAGAGAACATTTCTTTATAATTCATCTTACATTTGTCACTTTCTGTAGAAGTGTGGTCTTTTTGGCCTATTCTTTCCCAATCATTTAGAACTGACATCGGATGAATTCTGTCCCCTGATTTTTCTACTGTACTCTAGGTAAAAAATTCTGAATCCAAATTTATGGCTTATGTTTTATACAAGAATAATTATCCTATATATTTCCTGTTTCCATTTTCTTTTAAAGGTTTTAAGCAGAATATGAAGTATACATATTTTGAGGGAAGTAATAATCATTCCAGATATAGTTAGAAAGTCTTTTTTATGTGAAAATATTGCCTGTTTTCTCTTACTAGCTTTAGAGTACCGTACACAATAATTCCATAGTGGTTGATAGTTAAATTTAGATCCAGTATTTATTTTTTTATTCAAATTTCTCTCCATTGAAAGGAGCAGAGCAAGGTTTGTGAATTTCTGCTGGCTAAAAAATATCCTCAAAGCATGGTGATATGCAAACAAAGACAATCACCAGAAGCAGGATGTTTAACTGAGATGAATGGATAAGCAGAGTAGTTAGCAACTAGGCTTTTTGAGAACTTAAAAGAAAATAGTGCATTCGGAGAGAGAGTAGGAGCAAAGAATTTCCCCCTTGCTCCTTTCTTTCATGGAAGAAGAAACAGAGTGATAAGAATATATTTTTAAAATTGTAAAAATAGAAAAGCTACAGGCAGCAGATAATGTAATATCATCACATGCCATACAGTTGAATGCCTACAATACTACAAGGGTTAGGAGAAAAAAGAGAGAATTCCAATAGGTACCATACACAACGTGTTAAAAAAAATCATTATTATACTATGCTGATCATTTAGGACTCAGACTTGTATTAAAATAAAACAAATTATTTGTCCATGTCATTCTGACCACTTGGGTCCAGGAAATGTGATTTATATCACCCGGAGTAGCTTCTTTTCAAAATTTTGTTGAGGGTCCTAAATATCCTTATCAGGACCCGTCATGTTCTTGGTTCTAAGTGGTGATTTATGATGTTACATCAAGCTGTCAGTTTCCCTTGATGCTTTCTTCCTTCGTGGTATTTTCTTACTCCTACAATACTGTATGTAATTACCATAAAGATAAATTGTCACCTACACTCGGCTTTGCAATGTGAATTCTGAGAAAGGTAACTACCCTGAACAACTTTCTCTCATATTTATTCTAAATGCAAAATATTTCCAAGCTCTTTCTAATTAAATGGTCTAGAATTAAGTGAAATGAAACAAAGATCCTGATATTTCTCTTTTATACAAAAAAAAATCTATACAATTGAACTTTGCTTTTTACGGAAATGGATTTGTTGGGGTGACTTAGATGAACTTCCAGTACTAATGTCATCATCCTTAGGCTTTAGGTTCCAGAGCAGGCATTGGCTCTACTTTAGTTCTTGTTACATTCCTAGTAGAGGGCTGCTTAACCAAGGTCAGTAATTATTTTGTGTTGTTACAAGTGCACTCTTATAGTAGCATATGGCATGGGATTATCAGTATATAGTTACGGCAAAAAGAGTTGGAAACAATAGAGGAATTTAAGAGGAAATCTGAGAGAACTAAGTCTCAAAAGAACAGAAAGCAGATCCTGGGTAGGGCTCTGAGCTGGCAGCTGTGAGCTGGTGCTTTGCTCCTGTGATGCACCACACAACTCTTCTCTTCGTGGCCTGTGGGCTCTGCACCCTTCTGCATGTGCTTTGTGATCTGCATAAATCTAAGAGATGAGACTGTAAGGCATTTACATAATCATTCTTACCAATCTCATTTGGAGCAAATCTTCAACCCTCTAGACTTTCCCTGGCATCCCTCACCTTGATCTCTGTTTCCACAACACTCTTTTCAGGGCACCCTTGACATCTGTGTTCCTCAGGCTGTAGATCAGAGGGTTCAGCATCGGGTTGAAAAGGCTGTAAAACAGGGAAAGGACCTTCTGCTGCTCCTCAGGATGGTGGGACTTGGGGGCCATGTACATGACGATGGCACTGCCAAAGAAGAGCCCCACCACGCAGAGGTGGGAGGAGCAGGTGGAGAAGGCCTTTCTGCGGCCCTCCCCAGACTGGATCCTCAGGATGGCCGCCAGGATGCGTGAGTAGGAGACCAGCACCAGGCAGAGCGGCCCCACCAGGATGAACACAGAAGCAGAAAAGATGACCACCTGGTTGAGCCAGGTGTCAGCACAGGCCAACCTGAGGACAGACAGGATTTCACAGAAGAAGTGGTTGATTTCATGAGGCCCACAAAAAGGTAGCCTCAGGATGAGAACCACATGGACCAGGGCCAGAAGGGAGCCACATGCCCAGGAAGTGACAGCCAGGACTGTGCACACTCTCCATCTCATGATGACAGAATATTGCAGAGGGTAGCAGATAGCCACATACCGATCATAGGACATCATTACCAAGATGAGACACTCAGTGTGAGCAAAAGCCATGTATAAAAAGGTCTGCATGATGCATGGGACAAAGGAGATTGTTTTTCTCTTGTTCAGAAGATTTGCCAGCATCTTAGGGACATTGTTGGAAGCATACGAAATATCTACGATGGCCAGGTGTGAGAGGAAGAAGTACATGGTGGTGTGCAGTCTGGAGTCCAGCCAGATGAGCCCCAGGATGGCCCCATTCCCCAGCAGGGTGAAGATGTAGAACAGGGAGAAGAGCCCAAAGAGGAGCATCTGAATCTTTGGGCCAAGGGGAAATCCCAGGAGAATGAATTCTGTGACCCGTGTCTGATTTTCTCTCATGCCCTTGTGACAGTACCTGCGTTGGACTCTGCTGTGGCAATGAGCTGTGTGCTGAGGAGCAAATGCAGATTCCGATTAGTCACTTAACCAAAGGAGGGGGATTATGGTGCACACAGGGTGCTGACTTATCAGCAAGGTTTTTCAGAGTCATCATGTCAAATCCTTTAATCCATGGTAAAGCAAAAAAAGATTCAGTTCGGGGAACTAGTGTAAATGCAGACAGGGTGTCATATACTGTATCAAGTCCCACAGAATTCTACTTAACTTGGATTGCAAGACCCACATTTTTACTATTAGAAGGGCAGCCACCGAGTAAGTTGTTTTTCTGAATGACTAGCTGTTTTATTTTAGAGTAAGGATCGTACCCATGTTCTTCTGTGTTTTGCTTTCTAATTTACTTAGTATTTTCCCCCACTTTCTCTTCAATATTTGGTTTTCTCTTATGTTGCAACTTGTGCAGAGTGCATTGCACGTGCAGGTGCTCAGTAAACGATTAGAGAACATCCATAAAAGCATGAATTAGGAAATGAGGTTTACAAATGAAATTTCAAAGAGGGTTGTTTCCCTGTGTTTACTAGATCCAGGGAAAATAAAGCTGGCATTAAGTGTTTTACTTCCCGAAGCTACTCAGGAAAATCTGGCTGTTTCCCTTGGGATGCAAGCCAAGAAAGAGTGCCATCACTAATCTGGCAAGCATTTATCGAAGTCATTTCTGATATGGCCAGAGCAAGTGGTTATCTATGTGAAGGGTTAACCAGATAATATTCAAACTCCTGCCTCCACCCCATCCCCCTGCAGGGCTGCTTCCTTGGTTCTCAGTAGGTGCTCTTGCTGGCACAGTGTCCACTCCACTTGCTGGATGAATTGATGGATGGATGGATGGATGGATGGATGAATGGAAGGATGGATGGACGGATGGATGGATGGGGGAATTAAAGGCATTACATTAGGAATAACATTCAAAGAACATATCCTAGATTTCGGTCAAGTCTTCAGACTCTTCTTTGATTTTCTCTGGCTGTCATTCCCCCAACCATATAGGGGACTATAGAAAGGGAAAACCTGGATGTTTCATAGACATATACAAAAGTTAAATGATCAATGTGTCATTTTCAATGTGCAGCTTATGACTCCACCTCTGCAAATGCTAACCCTACCTCAAGCCCAGGAAACTGTCTGCCAATAAATTCTGTATCTCCCGTTCTATGTACCGATTTCTGGAGCCCTTCCTTCCTCCAGACCCTAGCTTCTCTAAATGACCAGACTTTACAAAAGACTCTTTACTTACTGTGGTACCAGCCCTGGTCTTGTCTGAGAAATATAATTATACTTAGAGAAATAGTGCAGACATCACAGGAGCTTTTGAAGACCAGAGCTGAGGATCTTGCTCCCACCAGCAGCCTCTAAGAGAAGAAATTTCCAGTCGCAAGGGCATCTCTCTTTTCTTAATGCAGGCTGATGCAAAGACTGCAGCCTGCTCTTCTGGGAACCCTAGCAGTATAGGTTTTATGGTGGAATTATCTCCACTCAAGCCTTCACAGATTGTTCCTGAGGACAAGGTAGAGTCCCTAAGGAAACCAGAATACACAGCAGTCAGACTCTGTGTCTACCAGAAGAAACAAAGGTTGTTTATCCTCCTGTCTCCAATTCTCTGGGCTCTGGGGATGGGCATTGAGAAAAAAAAGAAGCTGGCAGTTGTTGACGTAATAACCAGCTGGATCTCTACACATAAAACTCTTGTAGTAATAAGAACATGCATTCTCCAGGGTCCATGTTGCATATTACACCCCCTAAGTATTTGAACTGTGGTAAGTTCATGGATCTCAGTCTTGCCCTGGGTGGATTAAAGGGAGCTTGGAAGAGGCAGAACATCATGCTTCTGTCATAAAGTCTTGAAAATCTCCTTCTTCTTAGTTAATTCTAACTTGGGTATTGATAGATAAGAAAAAAAAAATACTTCTATCAACCCTTCCACACTGTGGTGAGAAAGATTCTGAGGCTTTTCCACATAGTGCCTGAGATTTGACATAGGGTTAGGAAATAAGAGAAGACAGAAGCCAGAGTAAGGCTGGCCTTGGAGAGGTGTCATGGTAGAAGCCCTGGTGTTTTGAGGGCAGCAAATGTGTAACTCGCACCTTCACCTTTACTATGATACACTCATGAAGTTCAATGAAACTTCTGATGTAATGGTGCCTCAGGTACAGGGGCTATGTTTATATTCACATAATAAAGCATAGAGGGAGGATGCCTGAAAATATTTCTGATTATCCCCTTTATGTGTATGTCCCTTACCTGTATATGTATTATGTATATGTCCATATGTGTGTGTGTTTGCTGGTTGGCAACATTGTAGAGAGAAATATCCACATCTCATTTGTCAGAACACATTTGGTTCCTCACTCCAGAGGGATGTAGGTTGTTAATTGTGGGCTAACAGGTGAGACTAGGAAACATGCCTGTGATTTCGGCTCAAAGGCTATAAAGGTTTCAAAGCAGGTGTATTTCTATGGACAGAATGAAGAAGCTCAAGGAGTATTTATTTTGGAATCTCTGGAAGAATGACAAGAGAAGTTTAGTAGCTATGGACAGTGGTTAGGAAAGAAAGCTGACACACTTAACAAAAATAAAATAAGTTTACTGATTACCTAAAACTGAAGGACTACATAAAATCTTGCCAAGATGCTTTCAATTATTCATATATTATCCACATATGGATATTTTATATCCACAATTATCCATGTGTAGATATACTGAATAATTAATCATCTCATTCATTTATTAATTCACTCATTCAATTTACATTTACTGAGCATCTGCTCTGTGTGGGGTCATCTTAAGACACTGGAAAAGCAAACACTAGTAAGATACTGTCTCCATCTTCCAAGAGTTTATAGTCTGCCTACAAGTGAGCCATGCAAATAAAGAGTATAGGACCTGGGATACATGTGTTCACAGTACACAGCAGGCACCATGAGAGGGTGGGGGTAGATTCTTCTGAAAGTAGATAGGGAAAGGCTTTCCCGTGGATGGAAAGTTCAGACACTCTTCAGGCAGACATGCCAGGCTGGACCATACCTATTCAATTATGTCTGAAGAGACATCTGAGTCTGGAGATTTCAAAGATTATAAGTTATTTTTCTGTTGGTATCAAAGGAATTGGGTCCAATTTGGGAAGGCTTTGACTTTGCATGGAGGAGTTAAGAGATTTCAGTGAAAATTGTAAAGCTTTGTAAAAATAATAAAGAAGTAACTAGAAGAAAAAAAAAGACATACCAGGCTGCACTTTAGGTTATAAGGAGGGCACAGCAATAGTAATAATAATAATAATAATAATAATAATAGGAAAGTGGCTCATAGATGAGCTTCTGTTGGACTTCATTGGAAATAAAAAGCAAAACGATTTGACTAAGATATGTTATTACAAAGATTAATGTTTGGTTAATGTGAAGGATTGTTTAAAAGAATGAGATTGGAGACTGTGAGTCCCAGCTATCTGTAGAGTCTGCATTTTCAAGTGAGTACCTAAATTGAGATGGTAACCGTGGGGACAGGCTGGAAGAAATGGGTATGGAACATGTGAAGGAAATATAATCATCGGTATTCAGTGACTTGGTGTGTGGTGAGAAACCAAGCAGAGCTGGGATGCTCCCCAGGCTTCTGGTTTGTGTGGCTGTATATAAAGTGTTTTCATTCAATTACATGATGAATAGCTGAGCAAGATATTATTTAAAAGCAAGGGCTAAAAAAGAATATAATTTTGAGCATGATGGCTATTGAGGTGGCTTGGTCCAATAAAGAATTAATTAAGTTGTTTTGGAGTTCATTAGAGATATCGGGGTCAAAGTACAGATTTAACAGATAAAGTCACGATAATGGATAAGTGTTCAGGGAGAGTAGAGGAGTTTTAGAGAGAAAAAAAAGAGAAGGTCAAGAACAGTATCAAGAATAACCCATATTTGGAAGGTGGACAGAGAAAGATAAATCTCCAAAACAGAACAAGAAGAAAGACCAGAGAGATAGGTGGGAGACTAAAAAAAATAAAAATGAAGAAAATCAATAAGCTGTGCTCTATGTAACCCCAGCAGGCAAACTAAGGTACTCAATTTAATCATATGAATAATGATAACTCTATTGTCTAGAAACAAGAATATTTTTCTGTAAAAAGCTACGCTTGTTAATACTTACAGTAAAAATAAAATAAAACCAAAGTTACTAACAGAAAGCCATTGCCATCCTTCAAGAAAAATATAGCAGTTTTTTGGCATAATTTCCCAATTTCATTGCCCCTTACTAGGGGTACAAAGCTGAGTATTAAGTGATATGTGCAGAAAATTTTAATTTCCAAAGAGTCTGTTATTAAGCTATTCATCAGATTTACAATACGAATGGGCAAAAACTTAATTGTGAAAATTAAAAGTAATTATTACTTTATAAATAAAATGAGGGCTCAACTAAGAGAATGTCATTCCAAGGACAGAGATGGCAGATGACCAAAGATTTTCGAAGTGAGGCTCATTGATAATTTACAGAGGCAGAAATCCACTGTGTTCAAAAGAGCTTTTAATGGTACCTTGGATACACATCTTATACTCCGGCAATTCATAAACATTATTCTTAATTCCTCAATACACCCAGAAAGGCTGATGATTGGGAGACTAATGGGATTTCACACCTTTTTATTCTTCCTCCAATTATGGGACAAATGTCAACATAATCTCTCATATTTCCTGGGACCACAGTATGGATTTAAAGACCAATTACATCTTCAAATGCAGAAAAAAAACAGTGTTAGATATTGACTGCATTAATAAATCTGTATTAATGTATCTAATTTACAAAGACAAATTGTATGTCTATTAATTTCTTGTTTTTTTTTAGAAAACCATTCAGTTCTCAACCTTTGCCTCTGAACTGCTAAGCGTTTGGTTGACCACAGATAATGAATAAATGTTTCTGAGAGCATGATTCATGCAATACCAAATAAAAAGAGTATTATACCCTTTATGAGGCATCAAAATGTATCTTGCAAATGCTAAAGTTCAATG